TTATATATAATAATGAGAAACATTACACTTATCTTAAAATAATATTAAAATAATCATTTCGTTTTATACTGAAATTAACGTACAAGTTTCATCAGACTATACACACTTAACATTTTCATCACGAGGCTGCACAACGAACAAGCTGCTATGTATTTCGGAAGGACATATGTATATCGAAAAGGATTTATTTAGACCCTCAGTATAATATCAAACTTTCTTTATTATACTAATTTATGCTTCTTACTTTTCTAGCTTGGTTTTTTTTTCATTTTTATACCCTGTGAATATTTTCAAAACTTTTGTAAATATTTTTTTTTCTCAGTGCAAAGAAAGGGAAATTTCTTGTGATGTCTAATTTTATCGCATAGTACTTAAAATATATTCATATAACAAAATTTAAAACAATTATTCTTACTAAAGTTATTAATCAGTGTGGTTGGAAATATATTGAATTATTTAATAACAGTGCTGCAAATGTTCATATAAATTACGGATTGGATATATGGCAAATTAAATTACAATAATGCTACATAAATGGTGCTTATCTAATTTAAACTTAATGCGGAATATAATTGATATTTATGCGTTATATGGGTGCTTTATTAAAATGAAATAAAGATTTAAATTATTAAAAAACAAGTTTGTCACTTTAAAATTTCCAGCTTTATAATAAACTCTATTGTAAACGCCATTGTTGGAAGATAAATTAAGAACAGCTCTCATGAAACTAACTTTTTGTGAGTCCATGCGAAAGGTAAATGAAATATCCCACATCTTGCTCGATGGCAAAACTACCCTGGTTACTTATATTATGAACACCATGGTAGCTTAACGCAAGAGGTAAACAATTTTGGAAGACTATAAAAAAGATGTTCTTGTCAGCAATAATGAATTTTAAGTCAATAATATTTTGCTCAGTTTATTGCATTTAAGTGCAATAAATGTTTAAACAATAATTTTTATTTAGTTTATGCAAAGTGCATTTCATTTGCAGAAATATTTAATTTTTTAAGTTAAATACATTAAGTTACATAGTATTTTTATAAATGGCATTTGTTTACAATGCATAAAAGTTGAAATTTCATAAATTTATAATTGTTGCTAGTTCTAAAAGAGCCCAAAGATCCATGAAAAATCAAAAAATCAACAGCTTACTTTTTAAGTATTCTACCTTCGTATTACTTTAAAAAGTACATCGTATGTGAAAGAAAATATCTGTTTTTCAGTTCATATGAAAGAAAATAAGTTTTATAAAGAACAGGAAGATTTCTGAAGTTTTGTTCGCTTGTTCCTAATTTTTGTTAACTGAGTGGTTGCTTTTTCCTATGATATGACAACAAAATTTAAATATGTCACAAATTGTCACATATATAATATGTCACAAATTAAATATGTAAATTTAAATATGTCACAAATTAAATATGTAAATTTAAATATGTCACAAATAAAATATGTCACAAATTTTCTACATTATTACATTTCGTCAAATACGAGGCATAAACTTCCAACTATGCTAGGAATAACATTTGAAATTTTCTCCACAACTTAAACGAACCGTTCAATGAATATTAAGTAAAATTATTATGAAATTGTAATATATCCAATTGCCATGAATTTCAATTATTTTGTCCATTCTCCTTCTATTATCGTGCAGAGAAACACTTTTCTCCATGCTTTCATGTGATCATAATGACAAAAATTATCAGACAAGATGTAAATAATTATTTCCATACAAGATTAAAATATAAGTGACTGATTATAGAGAATGTGTCGATTATGAATAATTTTGTCGTTCGATACGATAAGTATTCTAAATATTTCGCTATTTTAAACACTGTTAGAGACATATAAATAACATTACTTCATAAATGAAGTGAGGAACTCTAGATAGCATATCCACGGTCTATCTAGAAAGAAAGCTACTAGAAGCCTAATTAAGGATGGTGATGTAAAATGTATATGAATGAACTAAACTGAAGTTAACAGACATTTCGTGAAGCAAAATGTGGTTAGAATATTTTGACATTTTAGCACTAAATATTGTTGCATGTTTTTAATTTTACGTAAATAACTAAGTCAGATGAAAATGAAGATTTTTATCTTTCTTGAAGTAAATTACACCTCATTTAGCAGCATAATCAGCTGTAAATAGAGCCGAAGGTTTAAAACAGAGATAATGCAAAATTAACCTTGGCACTAGTGCCATGTCTCGCAATCGCTTGCAGAACAAATTAAAATTATCCCATATCGCCAGATCCTCAGGCCAAAGCAATAATCACCGACCAAAAGCTTCTCAATATAAACATACAGAGAGTCTTTAACCAAGCGGAGAGTACTATTCAACTCATCAACTGATGGCCGCTCACTGTCTTCTGTTTATAAGATTCATCAAAGGGCAAGGCACTTTCGGAAGCTTTGAGAACGATATTTGCCAGGGTTTCAAAAATGTGTTTCTGCAATCTAGTAAAGCATCACCAATATGACAAGAAAGCGCCTAGATGAGTCTCCACGGTTTAGAGTCTGGTTCTGCCCGAACTATCTTTACAATTAAAGCATCATTTTACTCCGAATCAAACGATCTGTAATGTAATACATGAACTAAACACTTAAAAACATAGTAAGTGAACGCAAACTCTAAATAAAATGCACTACAATAGAAATATTTAAAAAAAATAAAAACAAGAAAAACAGCTGCAAAAATGCATTAGCTACCAATTCATAATTTAATAAACACAGATATTTACATAAATTTACAAAACGTTGTTTATTAGCTTTTTGCTACAATGATGAGTGGTGTTTAAATTTCTATATAAAAGGACATTTGCATATGTAACATTTTTTTTTCCTTTCATGCATATGTTGTCTTCTAAAATAATCTTTGGTAATTTAAAGGTAACTTACGAAATAAATTTAGTTTCCATTTCTGTTCTGAAACGTAACTCTTGAATGACTCTTAAACAAAACATGGAATGTTTTGAGACTTAAATATTGTTTAATTCATGTCGTTTGAAATCCTATATTTCCTTAAAACCGAACCATTTAGTCTATAAATAAATTGTTTTGAATTTGTTCATTGTTAAACTTCCCGAATTGTCACCTGAAATAAATTCTGAGATCCAAAATTTTCAAACTCTGTTAATGGTAATTTCACTTTTATTCTAAAAGTTAAGAAGGTATGATATATTACACATAACATCAGCAAAATTTATATATAATTTATATTGTACATATCTAGCCTTTAGTACAATTTCTGAAACAAATGATAAAAATTAGAAATTTTACAGGTTTAAACGGTTCCTTAAAAGCGCTTGTTAAGTTTTTTTTACGCTTTCGCGGAGCTCGCAGTCTATCAGTCTGTTGTTGCACTCACTCCTACTAGTACTCTTTCCTGTTGCAGGTGTAGTTTTAGCTTTATTATTAAGCATTTTTTCTCCGCACTTACCCCATATGCAATTCAATAGCAATATCACAAAATTTTTAAACTCAGCATATGTTTAGAATCCCTCGATGTAGTTTTAAATGTTAGCATATATTTTTCTAAGCTTATCATGTCAGTATATCTTTTATTTAGTTTATCATATGAATTTTTATTTATTAAGTATCACGCTGTTCCCACTTACGTCATCTAAAATTCAATTCAATAGAGAAATCACAAAATATTTAAAAACAGCATTTCTTTAGAATTTCCGATAGATAGTATGGCGCGCTGGAGCTAAATTTTTTTATTCCTAACGGTGCTGAACACTGCTCGCATTTAAAGCGTTCATTTTGTTAATAAAAATTTTTTACAAATTATGAAATAAATTATAACAACATAAATAATGTTATATTGAATATTTTTAATTATATATATCATAAATTAAACGCATTTTTATTCTTTAAATCAATCCGATTCAAATGTAAGAAACTAATATTTTTAAGAACTGCAGCTTAGTTTGTTAATCCACAACAGACAGATTCAGTTTCAAAGGAAAATATTTATATTTTGAAGAGTTTCAAAAGACCCAAATAAAAAGTGAAACGACACAGTTAAGAGGTTATCACATCAAGCGACGGTCCCTGCTGGACGGGACTTTTCTGAGAAACGAGATTTCTGGTAGTACTGGTTTAAACGGAAGGATTGCTAGAAAAAAAGAGCTTCGCTGGAAGCGAAGTCCCGCCTAGCTACATAAATGATGTCCTGGCTACGCGGGATTTTTTGAAACCTCCCTTAAAATGTTTAGGCTGGAGTTCTGTCCCACGTAGAGATCAACCAATCAGACGAAAGTTTTGCTTCTGAAGGATCACGTGAACCAAGTCTGAGAAATAATCTATTACTGTTTGGCGTGCAAGACTTTGTAGTAAGTGAAAATGGTAACCTTTCCTGGATATGTGCGGGCTCTGAGAATTATCCCCTTCGACCTCAAGTCCCTCGTAGCCGAAACATAATGTGATTGGGAGTTAGCGATTCGATGCAAAACCTCATTTCGAGACTAATAGTCTTTTCTGGGCTAAAATTATATAATTTTTAAAGCTTCTAGTGATCAGCATTGCTTATTTTAATTAGCTCATAAAATAAGACTTTGCACTAAATTAGTATTATTTTTTGTTTGTTTGTTTAAAATAGATGAAATATTAAGAGATAAGTTATTCTACTTAAATGTAGGGAAGCATGGATTCATTGACGTCTTCTGAAGTAAATTCTCATATAATATTTTGCAATATTTGACATAAACACATTACATTTTAATATTAATTAAAAACTAGGTAATTCATTTATTTATTAAAAATACAAAATATTCATTATATTGCTTCAAGTTTTTATGAGTGGCTGAAATTTGAGGCTGTTATTATTTTTAGTTGAAATTATTTATAGATTTAATAATCTTTTAGATATGCTTATGTTACTTCTTGAAACCGCATCTTAATAATAGTTTTCTAGAATTACATCTTCTAAGAATAAATAACTTGAAATTACTCTTTCTTGTAATATTTATTGTATGCCTGATTTTTCTTTACAGGTGAAAGGCCAGCTGCTATTCAACATGATGCCAATATTTCTACATCATCTTCATCTAGTCCAAGTTTCTCTTTCCTTTTCTTCCTTGTTCTGACAGCTTTTGTTTCGAGGTGACAGCGCCATCTCTTGGATGACTGCAACATTACTGATATTTACGCTCCACTTCAAACCAAAAAGCGAAAGACGATTCAAAAGTGACATTGTTGAATAATTCAGTTTCACAGTTCACTGCAGAACATAGTAAACTGTGCTACTTTGAATATCACCGCAATTATAAACAAACTGGATTTCTCGATTTACAAGAACTTCGCTGCGAAGTTTGTAAAAATATTCGTATCTGCGATTATAAACATGGCATGAACCATACTGAACAGCAGATAAATGAACTTAAATTTCTACCTGTGTGCATACTTACAGTTTATTGATTTCCTTTTGTGTCACTTTGAATCTTATATGTAATGTGCTATATTGTAATTGTGTGAAAGAAATGCATGATTTTAAATACCAGAATTGTTCAGAGCTATACATAAACAAATAGTAATCAACAGTTTATGATAGTTAAAATGAACAAGAAAAAACTGAAAGACAGATATTTTCTACAAGTCACAATCTTGTGCTTTTCCCAGAAACTCTTAAGTTCATCATTTTATTCTTCTTCGAGTGTCCTGGAAACAAAATTTTGTGATATACTAATTTATTGTAAAGCTGTATTCCATGGACTAATTCCTGGTAATTGAAACCTCCCTTCAGAAATTTTTCACTAAAATTACAAGTCGCGAAAATTGTTATACAAATATGATGATAAAGAAGAAGAGCAACATGATGAAGATTTCATATTCCCTAGCCCTGATTTTTAAAAAATGGTAAACTATGATATTACCAGCAGAAAACGAGCTATCTTTCTCCTCATTTCACAGAGTTGACATCAATTAAGAGCATCAAGAGGTTACATATCCTATTGATGAATCATTCTGAATTAAAATTACCTAACCAAAGAATAAACTACGCATTAGATTAAAATATAACATTCAGGATTATTAATGATTCGAATGAATGAAACAAAAGTCACGATGACTTCTTAATTCCTGTATGGTTCAGTTTTTAATTATTTCATTGCCGTACTCATTACATCTTTAAATAATTTAATGTCAGCTCTCAATCATAGCCCTGAAAGAAATTTCATCGTGATGCATAATATATTTATTGTTTGAAAAGCATAAAAATGAACTGACATTTGTTTCACTTAAGAAAATTACAAATTTGAATAATATGTTATAGAAAATTGCAAACTTCAATACTTTATTACTATCATGACAGTCCACTCGAAAATATATTAAGAAAACATACGTAAAAAAAACATTCATTTTTTTCCCATTATTACAATTTTTCAAATGCGTTTTTCGTCATATTTTTTATTCTTTATTTTACTTGTATTATTTATATTAATGTATTAATGCAAGAAGGCTATATTCGTTTAATCTTAGAGAAAAGGTGTGGAAAAATTATTTATATTTTTGACTTTTCCTGTTTCATTTAATAAGTGAGAGATTTCTTAGAAGTGTGCATTGTCGTAAGGAGTAGTCTGATGTGTTAAAAAGTCATTCTTAAACTTAGATACCAATGTTGACTTCCAAACATTTTAGGAATTTTCTTTTACATTTAATTTGAAAATTAAAACTAATATCAGCTAAACATATTGTAATTTATTCGATCAGAAACACCAATATTTTTCTGCCATTAAAACATATAAATCTATTTGGATTTTGGTACGTTCTGTACCAAATGTCTAAGTGCCCATTGCTAATTGTCATTTTACAGCAGGTATTACTATCACAAGGCTCAAGCATATTCGCATCAAAATAAATTTAAATGAAGAAAAATAAACTGAATAAAATGAAATCTGAATGGTACAATGTTTCAGAATGAGGTAAAGTAATAGTTTTATTTCAACAAAGTTGGAAGAAATAACCGCAGAATCACAGTAACTTGCCAAATATTGAGATTATAAAAGTATTGGGAAACATTTTATTAAACCGTTTCATTAACTGTATAATCACTATCAACTTTAAACATTTTATTAACCCTTTTCATTAACTGTATAATCACTATCAACTTTAAACATTTTATTAAACATTTTTATTAAAGGTATAATTATTATATATACAATCATTGTAATTTCATAGCGTTTCATTTCTCTCCTTAAATAACTTAAATGAGAAATGCGTAAACAAATCAGTTCAACTCTTGAAGCACATTTAGCTTTTTTAACATGATATACTTAAAATATAATAATTTTGCAAACGTTACATTAGAATACACTTTTCTTTAAGTTTCTAACATTGTTTATAATAACACTTTTGTTCTTATATCAGTATGTATTCTCCTATTTTCCTCCTCACGTATTTAACTGCTAGTGTTTTCAGTATATGGCTTAGAAACTTTGATTTTTAGTAAATAATATGCAAGGTAAGGACAGATAGCGAAGTACACTAACCAAATAAGTACTTGGACACCTGTGATAGAAAAGAAAAACAAAATTTATTCATATTCAGTGGTTGGTAGAACCTCCACGGCTGGTAATTACAGCCTCAATCCTCCGGGGCATGCTTACAAGTCTTAAAATGACGGCTATTGGTATTTTCTTCCACTTCGCTTGGAGAAGACATGTAAGTTCCTTCACCGATATTGAACGTTTGTTGCATCCCTTAATTCGGCGATCCAACTCATTTCACGGGTTCTTCACAGGATTCAGGTATGAGTTCTGGGCAGGTCAGTTCATTCGTTTAACCCCATTGTCACCATACTAATCCATGAAGAACCTCGCAACATGACAGCTGGCGATGTCGTCGTGAAAGTAACGTGTCCAACCCATAAAACAGCTATAAATCAGGAAGCAGGCTGTCATCTCAAATAGTGCACTAGGCATCGGCGTTGAGTTTAGCATGAATTTGGACCAAGGGTTTAATCCATAGCAGGAGAAACACCTCCAAATCATAATTCCATCTCCGCCGAACTTTGCTGTGGGCACAATGCATTCTGACAACAGGCCTTCTCCAGGCAGTCGCCAAATCCAACCTTGCTTTTTGAACGGTAAAGGGTGGACCTTGATATTTTGCTCCAGATAACCCCTTTTCACCGATCAACGGCTCACTGTTGATGTGCTTTGCAGCATATTAAATAAGCAACCCTATTAGACTTCGGGATCAAAGGCTTGTGGGCGGCAGCACGACCGAGAAATCCAAGCAGATGTGCTCTGTTACGGATGGTATTCATCGAAACAACACTCGAGGTTGCCTGTTGAAACTCGTGGTGTATGTGGGCCATCGGTTGGGTGCGGTTCATTCGAATTTCTCTGAACAGCATCCATCGGTCTTTAACTCCCAGTTTTGTGGGTCTTTCGACTCTAGGCACATTTCGACAATTCACCTTCCACTTCTGAATCACATAGACTACTGTCGAATTTGGGTAATTAAGCTCGCTACATATGTCCCTTAAGGATCAGTCATTTTTGTGATACCCTTTCCCAAAATCAAATAGCTGTCCATTTCATAGCATCCTAAGTGCGACTGCCAGTGTTGTTTCATGCGCAACGTTTAGTGGCGAAGGGCGCACCGTACATCAGGACCGCAGTTATAGACATCTGCATTGTTGTCCAAATGCTTATTGGTAGAGTATAGCGTATAAGTCGTAAGGATACTAAGAAATGTTATAAATGTAACTGTCTTCTTTAGAACATAAAATATAGTCAAATCAAAACATTTATTCTTATGCACGTTCTAATTTGTCACTTTCTTCTTTTAAATCCTTCCTTTGAAAATTGGTAAATGCCTCGCAAATTTTCTCCATTCAATAAAGTTAGCAAGATTAGACAAGAGGGCGAATGCGAGAGTAAATATTTTAAATATTTTTATGGATTTTTTTACCAACTGTTCTGATATATGTAATTGAAGCCGAAAGGGATGTGCTCCCCGTAAGAAAACGAATTAGGAAAATAGAAAGAAATAAAATTAATTACGACAGAGTTAAAATAATTTCTTCGTTTATTGCTTTTATTGGTACATTTTGTGAAAATTATAGCTTTTAATATTAAGTATTTACATACGAGTTTTATTAGGTTGTAGAGATTCAGCTTGTAATTAGTTAACTGAAAAGAAAACAATTTGAGTTTGTTATACGAATAAGATTACTATGCATATCGCGTATCTACTTTATGCCTTTTAGGACTTTTCTTTTTTTTTTTTTTTTTTTTTTAATTTTTTTTTATTTTTGTTCAGATGAAATACTTATATAAGGTACTGAATTAACCTACAATAGCATTAGTTGCACTATCTTATTTTTCACCTTACTCGCAATTACATATGCGCGTTTCATTCGAGGGATCCTAGCGTAAGCTAATATTTGATTTCTACCTTGTAGAAAGTGGTATCTCTTTTCAAGAACACCAAGGCATATCATGTGAGTAACAGTCTTAAGTTTCAAGAACTCTCAAATCTCCGTATGTCAATGATAAGTTCTTGAGTAGTATTGCCACAAAAAATTGTGTGATGGCATAGTATATCTGTGACCAGTACTTGAACAGTTTTTGCACTGCAGTCTGTAAAATTATTACTTATTATAACACAAGTATTTTTATTTTACATGCATAGTTTGCAAAATTTTCTCGATGTTTCTGAAAGAAACGTTTTCTAGCAATATTTTCGTCGATGAATATTGAATTAAACTTCATGTTATGCACCTACTGATCCTCTCTATAAACTTCAAGAACTGAATCTGCTGTGATAATTCATGAGATGAGAAAACAAATGAACGGTAAGCAAACGCGGATTTTGCATTTTGCGTGATGTATACATAATAATTAGCAAAGAAAAATAAAAGCTACGTATTCAAGAGAAATATGAAAACAAAACATTTAAAAAGAGAAAGAAGCTAAAATTAAATCTTTTTAAATTTTATGCAAAAATTCATGTATTTGAGTTCTAAACATAGAAATCGTTACACAATAAACCGATTGTGTGTATGTGAATGTTAAGTGCTGTGAGAAGCGACATGATTAGAGACCTTTTTATTTTGTGCAAGAAAATATTATACGAAGGAGAGAAATGTAAGTATTAGTCAGAAGTATTTTATGAAAAGACTAAACATTCCAAGTTAATTAAAACCATGTAAATTTTGGTTTAGAGTGAAAGCCTTTTTATATGTGTTAAATATTAGTTTAGAAGATGGTGCTACATATGTAAGGCTAAAACAAAGATTATATTTATTGAAAGAACAACAAGAAGTAGTATTTAGAAGTATGTGGGATGAATTATTTTTATTACAGATACCGCGAAGTAAGAATTAATCTTAAATCTTCAGAATTATTGAAAATGATAGCAAAAGAATGGTTAAGAAGAAATCTCATTGCATACGTGCGAAAACCAAGTTTTATGATCTCAATAAAGATCTGACTAATCGTCATCGCACGTCCTATGAACGATCAGCATCAGTGATCTTCAACAGATTCACCGAAAGGGGTTCTTAAGAGCCTGTGAATTAGAGAGCCTAGATGTTCTGATATGAGAAACTTATTTGAGAATGGGAATTTGAGGCAAAAGTAAGCAGTAATTCCGGATTTCAGTCATGAGCAGCATTCTGAAACCTTAACGATCATGCTGTTTGATATTAAAAATCGTCTTGCCTGTGCTTAAGCAATTTTAAGGGAAATTAAGAGAATACACAAAATACAAACCTTAAGAACTTTTGTTAAAAGTAGTGATCATTATTATTTTTAGCAGTGAACCTGCTTTCCAATCATACAATTTAAACGACTAAAATTGAGACCTAGCTCTTGCGGATAACTAAAGTTTGCTTGTAATTTATATTTGTAGTGGGCAATAAAGAACTTTATTTCAAATGCTGATAACGTAAGAGTAGACATTGCTCTTGATTTATTAGTTCAGCTCGAATTTCGAAAAGGGCGAAATAATTTAAATTTTAAATGGTAATTCAAATATTCTTAAAATATATAAATTTTAAAGCCTTTAAATAACAAAAGACTTAAACTTTAAACTTTTAATTAAATACTTAAACAATCCCAATGGAAACTAACAGTTGGAAAAGTTCACTTGAATCAGAGAAAGAATATCAAATCATCATTTTCTTAATACAAATAACAGAAATATAATTTTAACTTTATATCAGTCCTTCGATAGCTCACGGGATTTGTTTGGTTTTACCGAATGCAATGACTGAAAACAAAAATTTTTGTATGATATTCATTATACCTGAAACTTACTGTACGTATAAATTTCGGTAAAATGATGTGAATTATTTAGTTAATATACTTCCTATGGCAGTTAGGTTTTAAACATTTAATATAAAATATTAGATCCATTAGTATGGTAAATGCAAAGGGAAAAAATTATGTGGACCTATAAAAAACTTGCAAATTAGACGCACATTATTAAGTCTCTTTCTTAAGAAGCGTACCGTTTTCATAGTTATGAAATTTTACATTTTTTACTTTTCTATATATTGCAGAATTTATAGATGTAATTATGCATCAGTCATCTTTCGTAAGGGAAATAATTTTATTTTATTTATCTATATTTTTAATTAACATCAACATTAAGAACATGCCCATTAATCCATTTTATAACAACTCTTATTATTTGAACTCTTGTTATTAGTCCAATTTTAATAATGATTCATTTAGTCCTAATGTAAAATAAAATTTTTTTCCTCCAAAACAAAATTCATTTATCAAATTTCAACATTTTACGTATCATACTTTGAAATTAGTAGATGAAACTGTTAATAGATGATTTATGGATAAAGACTTGGCTAAAAAGTCTCGCATAAATATGTACAGAAGGAAATTTTTACTCCCCTAAAACAAAAATTGTACTTTAATTGTATATATGAGGTTTAAGATAAAATACATGTTGTATTCAGCAAATAACAGGATTTTCATTTAGTAATCGGACTGTTATATTCCATACCGGTTCGGAATATTCAATACTAACTGATATCGGTAAAATATTATACTCATCTGAACGTTTTATCTTTTGCATACATTGAAATATCGTTTCAGAACAAAGAGAAATCAAATTAATTATATTTGAATTTGTTTATGAAATTTAGTTTCATGATAAACTAAATTTATAAAATTACCATATTCAATTTATAGTTTTTATAGTTTTAGGAACAAATTTAAATGAATATTTTATGAATTTAGGTCTTTTTTTTTAATTTATTTATCACATGTTAAATATAGCCATAAAGATATTAAGTAATAGATTCATCACATATTAAAAATATTCAGTAATGGTTTGTTAAATGAGTTATTTTTACTGTAATAGCTAATGTTTATGTTTGTAATTTTTTTTTAATTTTATAATTCTTTTTTCATTTTGTTTTCACCTACTGTGTTGCAGAAATATTTTCCATTTAAGATAAGACGTTATGCTCAATCTAGTGATAAAAATTTCAAGACTCTACATATTTAAATTGCTATTTAAAATAACCATAAATATTACACAAACTAAAATGCTATGCTGTCTTTGTAGACTATTAAATGAGATAACGCATTACATAGCTATTAGTAAATGCTTAATATATTCTTATCCCTTGTTATATTAATTTACTAGCAGAAAAAAAGAGGATCATTGACCGAATTCCCAGCATGCTTTACTGCTAATGACTTATATCGATTCCCACTGATATCATTGATTTTAGTATAATGATCTCCATCTGACTTTTCTCTCTTTGACCAAGAACACGAAGGAATACGTGTGCTGCATTTTGAAGAACCACATGTGAAGAAGATTTTGGCTATAAATTACGTACTCTTCCAATTTTAACCGTTCCTACCATTGCGTCCCATAACGGTACTTGACGCTGTTGAGTGCTCGAGCATACAGATACTGTGAGCGTACAATTCACTGAGACTTCATTACGTTTTTATTATTATTATTATTGTTTCATTGATTCGTGTTGCTATTGTACATAGTGCGTTGCTTCACTTCTCTGTATATGATCGTAGACTATGACATCCAAAAGTATATTATGATTAAATAATGTACACTGTGTTTATTAAATTATAACTGAAGAAAAATAAATAAAATAAGTAATGAGCTTTGCCTTGTTGTAATATCTTTGCACGCAACTTACTTTGAATTTTATAATATTTTCTCCAGCTTGTTTTGTATTAAATTACATTCGGTAACAACGAAACGAATTCAATCAACAGTTGTTCAAAATGTCTGTTTATCATATGTCGCATTTAAAAAAATGTTGAACTTTACGTTCAAACGCTACCAAAAAGATGACTGAAATATACATATAGGCGTTCAACAAGCTTAAAGTCTAACACACCTATACAAAATAAGTGCCCAAAATTTCCGATCCCTATGTATTCGGCAACTATGTAACTGTATGTGCTCCTTTGTAACTATAATTGTAAATGCCTTCCAGCAGTTTCGAGAAATCGAATTTACTGGAAAGCTTTTTGACGCAATTTTGTTGTATTGTGGTCAACATTCTTAGTAAATTTGCAGTGGTAACTTCTGACTGTGCTCTGTCGCAGAAGAGTTGTACGAGTACTTTAGTGTAAAAACTTCCAGAACTGTAAAAAGTACTTTTTTGAGGGAGAAAATGAAATTAGCTGTTATCGGTTCTGTATGCATTTAACCTATTACAAACCCGTACGCACGTAACAATACTCTTTCATGATTGCAAAATGGACGATAAAGATCACCTCCCTTCACAATTGCTTTAGGCTCCAGCAAAATTGCCTGGATGTAGAAAAATAAATCAAGAATTCCGTCAGAAAATATGTGTTATGTTGCAAATTCAGGCTGTGGGATTTGTATGGCGTATTTCTTTAACACCTCTTATCACAGCGAAAATTGTCTGCTAAAAACTGAAAGCATATTTCTCCCAATGTCTCTGAAAGGCTAAAGTGCATCATATTATTTCCTTCAAATAAAAAGCTATGTAGCTAATGTTTGAAATCAAGCATCATTACAAAGTTCTATTACTGAAATGAGCTCTCATTATATAGACCATCATCAAAAGATATAAGTTGCAAATAGCTCTCTTAATAATCAGCTTTTGATTATATGAAGAATAAATGTTCATGGTAAAGCAGCAAGGATTTTGCGAGCAACTTAATGTAATCTTTTGGAGCAACTGATTGTGAATTTGAAATCAAGAGATAAAGGATAAAATTCAAACGTAAGAGAATCTGAATGATATATTAAAATATAACTTACGCGTTTTGATTTACCTACTCTAACAGTGATAAAAACCTTAGTTATTTTAATGCAATTAACAAATTATTAACTATTGATTCGATTGTCATTCTATTCAGAATAGTTAGTATAATAAAGCTTTAAGCACAGTGTAGGATTATTATTTTAATTAACCAGATAGCATTAATTAGACCTTTACTGTAATTTTTTATTTCTAATTTTTCACCTGATATGTAAATCAGTTAGAGAGCATTTAAGATGAAATTTTTGAATTGTAATACTAAGCGTGTTTCTGCCTCTCTAGGCCACGTTACTAGAGTTTGCCAACTCCAATGAGATTGAAATTATTCGGCTTTGCATTATAGCTTTCGTCATTTAAATTGTACGCCGGTGAGAATTTCTAAGTCAACTAAACATTTAAGTTAATTGTATAGTCTTCGAATACTTCGCTTACTTTGAATTCTGAAATTTATTGTTACTATAAGTTTCCTCGCCACAAGTGGTGGCTAATACTGTAAGCACTAGACGTGCATTTTATGTTCAAGTTCTGATTTAATAAGAAATTAATTTTAGTCTCCTCAAGTCTCTGTAGTTAATTTCAGACCAAGCAATAATTCGCTCCAAGTCTGTTAGGGTTTGATTCTAATTTATACTACTAAAGAAAGTTAAATTCTATAAAATGAATATGAATGAATTCAGCTTTAGTGAACTTTACCGTATTTAGAACTGTATTTTAAAACGAATAATGCATTAAAATTCAGAAACGGAGGAGGAATTCAGTTAAATGGAAATAAAACATTGAAACAATCTGTTTTATTTTCTCAATAATAAAAGTAAAAGTGTAGTGATAAAAAATGAGAAAATTGTTTAGTATTTCTTTTCTGAGTATTCTTTCTGTCAAAACTTTTTAAAGATATAAACTGATAGCAGTCTAATTAAGTGTATTTTCGGCAAAGTTTCCATGTTTCTGATTGTTTTCGACATAATTTGATAAGCGCACACAGTGAAGAAAATCTCATCTGAGCTATGCGGAACTGATTGAACAAACAACAGAAAAGAAAGAATTTCAGCAGGAGTGATGAATGAAAACAAAAACCAAGACGACGGTACTTTGATTCAGTAATCGCTGTGCAGAGTAATACAGATTCTTTAAACAGATTTTGCTGTATATGAGATCTTTGAGATATGCATTAATACGCACAAAAAAGTCTGAATTCAAGACAGCAGTACTTGATGTCAAAAGCACACAGCAGCGTTTATTTCCTTTTAATATTTGCATGCGAGCTTCTTCTACTGATCTTGTGCTGTATCAACGCTGTTGAAATTTTACTTTCACTTTCTGCATATTACGAACTAAAGAGAAGAATTCGAAATTAATTTTTACGAGTGACCCATTGGAAATAAAATACAGGATGGTTCAGTAAATCAATTACAAACTTTCAGGAGAGATGGAGCACACCTATAGAATGGAAAATAACATGGCAATGCATGGTCGAAATGGCTTTCCTGGCGCGGTAGCGACAACACAAAACACCAGAAGAGCATGAACAGGGTGAGAAATCAAGAATAACAGAAATTAAGAAATAAGAACAAAAATAGGCAACAATCGTCATCAAAGAAGAGGTTCGAAATTACGACGCCGGACCCTGAAGCAGACTTGAATCTCCAGCACATGGAAGACCTAATCTTCTGTAAAATACCGACCACGTCCCGGATTCTCCAGCATGCGTGCAACAAGTTCCTCAGCATTTCTAACGGGGTTTCGTCCAGAAGAAGTCAATGCAAGTGAGATTTGGCGACCCTGCCGGCCAATGCAGTGGACTACACCTGCCATTCCCATGTTGAGGATACGTTTCGAACGTAATTTCTAACAACTTCTTTGATGATGATCGTCGGTTTTTGTTTTTATTTCTTGGTTTTCGCTGCACTAAACATAATAAACATATATTGTCGCTCTATTCGTTTCCTTCCTTTCTTGCGCTGCCGTCACTACCCCGCCAGGAAAGCGTTTCCGACAATACATTGCTATATATTTTTCCATCGCCTAAGTTTATTCTATCTCTCCTGAGAATTTTTAACTGATTTGCTGAAACGCCGTGTATATAAGCGTGATGTCATATGATTCGAAAATTCTTACAGCATGAGAAAAGCAAATGTTGATTGAAAAGTTATATTTATGTTTCATAAAGTTTGTTTCGCTGAGTCTACACCTTCTTACAAAATTGTTATTTTATTTGTGCCACCTGAATGTAACATGACAACAGAATACGCTTTTCGTACCTTTCGTTCTAGTAATACATACCTAACACATACGAAAACTTAAGTTTAGAACATTCCCAATCAATTTGATATGAAAAATCTCCATTAATTAAAAAATACTATCAATTAAATATGCAAAAAATTTACTTCTAAAACAACAGATTAGATATAAATAATTAAGAATGCAATAAAAAAGCAGTAGATGGCAGAAAAAAATGTTTAACGATATTTAATTTAAGTGCAAACTGAAAGTTTGTTTCGAATAAAAAAAGTTAGTTTAAATTATTCATTAATAATTATTAGTAAGGTCAAGATAATTCATATTTTCTGTTTATAAAAGTTGAAAATTAAACTAAAAAATCGCTAAAACAGAAAAGTTTCCTGTAAAAAAATTAATTAGAATCAGAATTATTGCTAATAAATGGATTAAAAATTTTTCAATTTTAACCCCCCCCCATATACCACTTTTTCCTTTCCCCTTTCACCCTTTTCTTAATAAGAAAATCTATACTACGATAAAATGATGTTTTTTTAATTGTGAGATTTTAGTTGAAATAACCAGTTGTTAGGAGATACATATTTAATTCTCAGTTAAACTGAGCATTAAATTGAATTATTTATTTGGGATACTTGGAATCATACTAGGATTATCTGCCTGCCGAAAAAGATGATTGCTTGACGAATTTTTTAAGAGTTACTTGCATTTATTACAGCAACTACTTTCTTTTTAGCATTTAAATTACTTGTAATTATATACTTTTCACCTCGTAAATTTAACTATTTTGGGATTTGCTGAACCACAGAGAAAGGGGGAAAAGCCTAAACTCTTAAATGACTCATACATCAGTAAAAATGTTATTGATTCGCAGTTCATTTCCTATATCGCATAATATCTAAGCGAGAAATAGGCTTAAAAATGAAAAAATGCATTCTTTAATGCTTCTAAACAACGCTTCGCAGCTTCAAATTTTTCTGGTTTCCACTTTCAGCCGAAAATCAGTTTTAAATCTTCAGTACGTATGCCAAAAATGCGTCAAACAGAAAAGTTGTTTAGCTTTCTCAATTTCTCCATATCAAGAATAGGTAATCAATGATGTTTGCCCTTAATTTGCACTATCTTCTGCTCTCCGTTACCTTTTAATTGACATCCAGAAGGACTATATTGTAACTCAATTTAAGAAATTAACACGCAATTTAATCCAAACACACAACTGCGATGTTAATACATTTTCAATCTTGAGCGGTGTTAAACGCCGTCTTGGTCACCAGATTCATAATATGCCAGATCATGGGAATAGCCGAACCGCACAGCATCGGATTAAAGAACAATAATTTCTTTAGATTTTATCCTTTGCAGGCCGCAAGTTACTTTTGAAGTTCAATGTTTAATTTTCATTTGTAGTTCAGCAAATAATGGAGGCAAATCCATATTTCTGATTTGATGAAATTAAGCATGAATAAGCAACAAACTGCTCAAATTCATTCAATGCATGTGAACATTGTTTATGTGAACATTGTTGTTATTCATGCAATGGATGTTTAATTTAAATAGCGAACATACCATTTTGGGTTTAAAATATGTATTTTAAAATATGTATTTTAAACTACTTTCTACAGTGAAAACTT